CCCCCACCGCCCCCGGCTGCCAGCCCGCACAGCCCTCGGGCGACGCACGCTTGCTTCCCGAACGACGTCAATTCGAATGTGAATGTCGCGCGGGCCATCATCAGAGCGGCACACCTGGGCGGCCACCTGCCCACCCCTTTGCGCAACTAGCGCCAGGCGAGAGAGTGGAGTGGGCGGGGCGGGGCGGGGCGGGGCAGGGGCGCGTGGGATATGAAACATGGCCCTGCGCGACGGTGAGACGGGGCTGCGTCAGAATAAGAGTGAGAGGGACTCGGTGCTTCCTTGACGTGACGTCACGCGGTGTGCGCCGGGCCGGGTCAGTCCGAAAGAAGCGCAGAGCGGAAAATGCCATGAATGGCGAGCGACCCGACGTCAATCCGATCTCCATTCGGCTGACGCATTATTTGTATCGGCACCAAAGTAAAGATGTAGAATGTAGACTGTTGTTTCAAACGCGTCTGAAAAGTTTCAAACGAAATTACTACCGACGATTTCGCAGTTCGAACTGCAAAGGCATTTCCCTCGTCGGAGTACTTTGACAATAAAGGTTCTGTCCTTCAACGACGCTTTCATATTTCTGTACAGGGCGCCCTGTCATGTTATACTCCGTCCTCTTTGTTTGATCCATTCAGTCCCCCCCCCCCTTTTTCCGCCTCCCGCCTTTCCGTCACCCCTCTGCAGCGATCACACTGCGATCGAGTCCGCCGTAATATGCTGAACGGGGTGTCACTTAGAGAGTGTAACGGAAGAACGTTACGTGAACGACAGGATTTCGGAATGTTTAATCGGGCGGAGGTGATCGTGATCCTCCCACTTCTCGAGAGTGATATTCGGAGCAAGACCAACAAGACCTTAGTGGGTTTGTTTCCCCTGTCCGCTCCCATCCGCCCAATTTTACCGTGACGTTGGAAAAGACGCGGGTCTGGAGATTGGGGGGGACACTGAAACAACAAGAGTTGGGAAACTCGCCGCTCACCGAATCTTCGACTGAGGCTGAACTGAATGCAGGAACAAAAATGGTGACCATCTTAAATTTACGCCCTCTATGTGTGCGGCCCGGTGCGGCCCCTCGCTATCGTCATAAATTTTGGCATAGTAGCTCAGTATGCAAGCGGAGCAGGAGGGTCCGCTCAAAAATAAAACGAGTTGGAAACAAGACTCGGTTGGGAAGGAGTTGGGGTAGGGAAGGGGGGGGGGGCGGACATAGTTGCACGAGCGTTGCTAATTAATTCGCAATGCCGCCATTCATCCCCCTCCCTCGTCGCGTCGTGTTGACACCCGGCCAGACGGCGCGCCGCGGTCGCTTTTATTGTACAAAATAAAATAAAAGGGAGTTGGGGGGGGGGGTCGGAATTAGGGAAAGAGAGGGGGCGGCGCTGCTCTCCGCGCTTGGTTAGACAAGTTTTACAAATTTAGCCAACATTCACGCGCGGCACTAACCGCCCTGT